TCAGTGTGGGAGTGTTGGATTGTTCATCAGTGTGGGAGTGTTGGATTGTTCAGTGTGGGAGTGTTGGATTGTTCATCAGTGTGGGAGTGTTGGATTGTTCATCAGTGTGGGAGTGTTGGATTCAGTGTGGGAGTGTTGGATTGTTCAGTCTTGTGAAATCTAGAAATTTATGTAAAAACTGATGGTCAAATGTAAAAACTGATGGTCAAATGTAAAAACTGATGGTCAAATGTAAAAACTGATGGTCAAATGTTGGACGTCCCAACAGACACAATCTACACCATATGTGAGGCATCGTGGGAAAATCAGGCGCTCGTCAAAAAACAACAACCCAAAAAACAAGAAATCAAAGAAGTTGACCAGTATTTTTATGTTCCTATTTAGGCTCAATACCGTTAACGTCCATTTAAAAACAGCCTGTGTATATTTTACTGAAAAATGTTGATCAGAGGCACAAAAAATGAAAATTTTCAATTTCCAAGGACACTCAAGATTTGGAAGTCACCAAACTTTGGCGGCCATTTTCTGGCTCCTTTTTCCACTGACACAAGGCTTCTTCAACCACAAATATCTCGACTTTTTTCAAGATGGATGGGTTTTTTTCACCAAAAGCAAGACAAATGGACAAGCTTTAAGATGCTACCGACACCTCTATGTGCTAATAAATTGATGAGTGCCCGATTCCTTCCACCAAATCCTGACACATTTAGGAGGGGGGCTGCCTACGCTGCCAGTCAGGGCCAGTCCAGGCTGGGTGGGATACAACATCCTAAACAAAAGACGGAGATACTTCACATGATTACCCCAGACGGGATCCGAACTCACACTCTCTCCGTGCAATGGTCAAGAGCCATACCGTTGCATCACAGACATAAAGATGCTCAGAATACCCCCCTCCCCGACAGACATGGAGTTTGAGGGAGAAAAAAAGTACATGTATCTCTGTGGGTCATTTTGGGTCAATTACCTACACACATCGACAAGTACAAACACGTATTTGCGTGTCATTTTGGGCCAATTACCTACACACATCGACAAGTACAAACACACAATCTCACGTTTTGCCAATGTTCAAATGTAGCTGTCAGAATCACCACTGGGCCATCCCCAATCCTTTGACAAAATTGACTCCCCCTGCTAGCACAGATGCTTACATTAGAACGCTATGGTAAGATGTATGACTGGCTAATTGAGAACAGTCGTCTCTAGAGAATCTGACGAATGGTAGAGAACAAAAATGGATACCGGGATCCATGACAAACGATTGGGTGAGGGGAGATCTCGAGAGGGGGAGGAACAGAAATCTGTGACAAATTTCCCTGTGTACTGGTCAGGCAAAATAACACATCAGAAAATGTAACACATTCGATGTGTAACTGGCTCGGTGTGTACTCACTTCTGCGGCATGCGTATGTCCCAGAGAGCAACACCGTGCTTGGAGTTGGCGGTGGCCAGGAGGCGTGGCTCCACGGGGTTGTAGGTCACTGAGTGCATGGCCGAGCCACAGTCTGCCAGGACAAACGGGGCTGGGGGGGGGGGACAGAGAAGATGTTTGTTTAAAGCTTCTTTCAACACATGCTAGAGCAAATGGCAGCAGTCACAACGTGAGTCAATTTTGCTCGGGTGAGAAAATGTAAAACTAAATGTTTCAATACTGCTCATCTAAGTTCCCCTTACAAAACAAGTAAAAGTGTACATTTCTCCGTCACTGAATGTAGGGTCCACCAAAACAACACCCTGCTAACTGAGGATACAAAACAAATGACATAAGCATTTCTACCATAGCAGTAACTAAAACACTGAACAAACTGACTTTTGCACTTATGACCAGGAGAAAATCAGACAAAGCAGCCACGCCTTTCCTCCATTTCTTCCCCTGTAACTGTGGAGTAGAGTTAGGGTTGGGCGTTCTCGTGGCCTGCAAGTTAAGGTGTTGGCCTCTCATTCAAAGGTCCCGGGTTCGAATTCCGGTAGTGACCGAAACATTTTCTTCTCTAAAATTATCTCTGATCACCTCCTTTCCTGCTCTCTAGCAATGTATTGTTGTCTGCTTTCGTCTCCTCTTTCTGCCCCCCCCTCCCTCTCCTTTGCCCCCTCCTCTGGGCTCCCGACTCTTTCTGCAGCCTTTCTACTGCTACTCCTTGGCTCCTCCTTACTGCTGTCTTTCAGTCACACCCCTGATCTTCTAGTAGGAAAGATCTACACCTAGCCTACTCGAACAAGGGTGAAAAATCTCGGAGGGCCTGTGTGCAAGTTGTGCATGTTAAATATCCCTTGGTGGTCTAAAATCGATAAGAGTAGGCTTCGCCCACCACCTCTGGGCAAAATTCAAAATTTCCTACCAACTGAAATAGTTTAATTTGTCCCGCGCGCTCATATGACTTTATGCAGTTGCGAATGCCACAAAACACTTACCAAAAAAAAACCCAAAAAAAAGTGAGTGTTTTCCACGACACACACATGGCCATGTCCTTGGGCCACACACATTAACCCTTCCCCTAACACAGGTCGCTGCACCGTGGCAACCAGCACTGACCTGGATGACATTGTCTGATTGTTGTGACCTTGTGATTGTGTAATGGTAGATATTTTATACCTACCTCTACAACATTATATCTTTTACAAGTGAGGGTAAACTACGCTGTGTTCATTAGATATTGCAGCATGTCTGTGTCGATGAAACCTTCTGTTGTAAAAACATTTCCCCAATGGTGATCAGTAAAAGAGGACGGTATTTGGGGGGTAAAAATGTTATTGTTATTAATGTTATTGTTATTAATGAGAGGTGATGAGTAGACAAAAGAATGTTGTACTCACACACACTCCCCACCCCTCAGAGAGGTGATGAGTAGACAAAAGAATGTTGTACTCACACACACCCCTCCCACCCCTCAGAGAGGTGATGAGTAGACAAAAGAATGTTGTACTCACACACACTCTCCCACCCCTCAGAGAGGTGATGAGTAGACAAAAGAATGTTGTACTCACACACACCCCTCCCACCCCTCAGAGAGGTGATGAGTAGACAAAAGAATGTTGTACTCACACACACTCTCCCACCCCTCAGAGAGGTGATGAGTAGACAAAAGAAAGTTGTACTCACAGCTGTCAGCCGGTAGCCGTGTGTCCACAATCCGGGCCTTCCCGTCGTCGCTGGCCGTGGCAAGAACGGTGGAGTTGATGGGGTCCGCGGACAGGCAGTAGATGGCATCACTCAGGCCGTACACCGCTGTTGACTTCTGACTGCACGCACGCGACAACGAAAGGACACGGGATGTGTGGCTTCCATATGTGTGTGTGCTATCTAGTTAGATGTGTGTACTGTAGTGGTCAACTGTAACTAGTCTCTGTACTGTAGTGGTCAACTCTAACTAGTTAGATGTCTGTACTGTAGTGGTCAACTCTAACTAGTTAGATGTGTGTACTGTAGTGGTCAACTCTAACTAGTCTCTGTACTGTAGTGGTCAACTCTATCTAGTTAGATGTGTGTACTGTAGTGGTCAACTCTATCTAGTCTCTGTACTGTAGTGGTCAACTCTAACTAGTTAGATGTCTGTACTGTAGTGGTCAACTCTATCTAGTCAAGTCTCTGTACTATAGTGGCCAGTCTATTTAGTTTATATACAAAAGACATAGACAAGAGATTACATAAAAAATCTCCACTTTTCAGCACAGCTGTCTCTGACAAGCAGGGTTTAACAAGCTCCCCGCCTCAAATGACCCAGATAATGTTTATGGGGCAGGGAGTGTCAAACTTCAACAACAAAAAAGATTGCTGATATATCTAATGAACCCCAATTTTCTCACTGTCGGCACAGATTCTCAGTTAACTCCTTAGC